AATAGGCACATCGGGCTAGAGACAACTATATTGGGTGGCAGAAATGTAGAATATATCCATCATTGTAGAAAATATGACTAGACGACACTGCTACAGAGCAATGAAAATGAATTTCTGTTGTGTGTAACAGTGTGAATGACTCTTATAAGTGCATTGTGGAGTAACACGATGCACACACAAGTGACTATGTTCTGTATCTTCCTGTGTGTAAAGTTCAGATACAGAACAAATTAACTTATTCATGATAGAAGTCAAAATGGTGGTAACCTTGGGGTTGAAGGGGTTAATGACAAGAAGGGAGTTGGGGAAGGGCTAAAGAAATAACTGTAATTATCAATTTTTTTAACTGGATTGTGGTTATATAGGTGTCTTCACTTTGTAGAAATCCATCAGTCTATAATTTGTGCACTCTTCTGAATATGTATTAATCCTCAATAAAATGTCATAAAAATGATACCTGTTGATTCCCACTTATTATTGGCCAGCTAGCAAGCTTGTCCTTTTGGTCTCTCTCTTGTTTTATTCTCCCATTTTTGTTAGTTATGTAATTTCTACTTCATCAAAATATACCATGTTTCATCCTATTTTGCCACCCTTATGCTCAGTTTTTAGTTCTAGCATAAGTGAATATATTTAGTTAAATATATGACTTAACTAAAGTTATATGGTTTAGTTTGCCATATTCATTGCTCTCCACCAAAACTTTATCAGTTTCCCCAATTGTATGTTGGCTGCTTATAACCTGCCTTCCTGTCTATTCTTTTTTTCCTATCCATTATTGAAGAGGAGCTCATAACAACATTTCTTGGGTTCTTCCATATCAAAACTATCTATAATTATGAAGCAGTTTAGCAATGATGAAATAACTAGCTTTTGTTTTCTTTCCCTGAAGATCTTTCTAGTCTTCTGGAGGTGAATGTTGCTTTTGAGAAAATTGATGCCAAACTTTTTGCTTTCCTTTTTTTCTTAGGTAAGAAAAAAATTATTTATTTACTTTAAATCCAATTTTACTGCAGTATATCTCAGTGCTGATTGTTCTGGGTCAATTTCCCTAGATATTTGATGTGTGGTTTCAATATGTAAATTCAAATATTATTTTATTTATTCATTATTTATTATTATTGCTTATTATTTCAGTATTTATTAAAAATCATTTCAGCCCTGACCAGGTATTTCAATTGATTCGAGCATTATCTTGATATAACAAGTTTATGGATTCAATATCCAGTCAGGGCACATACAGGAAGCAACCAATGAATGCTTAAGTGGAACAACAAATCTATATTTCTCTCTTTCTCCCCCTTCCTCTCTCTAAAATCAATAAAAATGTTTAAATTACAATAAAGTTCAATTAACTTCGGATTAAATATTTATTGTTTGACTGTTTTGGTTTTCTTCTTTGGGGACTCCAATTATGTAGTATGTTGGATCATCTATCTTCTGTATTTGTCTCATTTCTCTTAAGACCTTTTATCTTAAATTTATTTTATATTTTCCATTTCTCTCTCCCTCTATCTATATATTTTCTATGCCTCATACTTGTTTTGTATGTTGCCTTTTCTTTTGTGTGTGCTTTATAACTTAATTTTCCTTTCTGAAATTTCTGGGTTTTTTCCTGAGTTCTGTTCATTTTTATTCCATAGCTTCCTTCAACTACATATTTTTTCTCTTGTCTTGTGACCATGACTGTTATATTTTTTTGGTTTAAACTTACATATAGTTACATGTATATTTTATCTGATTTCAGTGTTTGGTATTATTTTTCTAGTATGGTTTATAGTAATGATTAAAATGTTTCATTTCTTTCACTATAATTATTTTGTATATAGGCAGAACATTTTCCTTTTCTACTTACTCATATTTGAATGAAATTATTTTGTTAAAATAGAAGCAGAAGTTTATGGAAATGGAACCTGAGCCAGGGTTTCTGAGCTTCAAATAGTGTTATTTCCTCTGTGGATAGAGGGGAGACTCTGCCTCCCTAAACCTGGGCTGTTTCAAAAGAACTTCTGCCAGCCCTGGGCTTCTGAAGTCTCTACACATCTTGCTTTCCAAAGATACAGATTAGTTTGCAGAAGACATATTTTACTGGCACTCTTTCAGATCTGCCATATGTGGCCCTCCTGGGAATTTTCTGAACTATTCTTTCACTCTTTCCAGAAATATTCAGCCCTAAGTTATCTACCTAGGTAATGCTCCCATAACTTCCATCTAAAGATGAGGTCCTCACCTTGGCTAGTGTGGCTCAGTGGATTGAGCACTGGCCTGGAAACTGGAATGTCACTAATGCAATTGCTGGTCACATGGCTGGTCTCCAGTTTGGGGCGTGCAAGAGGCAATCAATAGATATTTCTCTTGTGCATCAATGTTTTTCTCCCTCCCCCTCTCTAAAAATAAATAAAATCTTTAAAAAATAAATAAAGGTAGGAGAAAATACATTTCTCCTAAGCAGAAATATATAATGGAGATATCTGAAATTGGTCAATCCTGAGACCCTCTTCACATTTCTTGTTTTTCTTTTTAACATCTTTGTGACATTACAAACTGGATTCCAGTCTGTTTCAATTTAGGTAATACTCACATGCAGTTTCAACTTTATCGTTTTTATCTGTTTCATAATAGCACTGAAAATGCAGTTGTGTGCGTGTGTGTGTGTGTGTGTGTTGGTCTCCTTTTTGCTTTGTATCATTACCAGGTTCAAAATGGAGAGAAGATTCAGAACTAAACTTCTGGAATATTACTACCATCTTTCCTACCTCACTGTGGGGAATATTTCCTTGGATGTTTCACGTAAGCTTTTAGTAAGTCATGTTCAACATTGTAATGATTATCTTCAATCTGAACTTTCTCTTCTTAAATTTCTTATCTCAGTTCATGCACTATCATTAATTTAGTTCCCCAGACTGGAAATCTGGCCATAATCATACATTTCTTCATATTTGGTTCCAGGAATATCAAAGTAATAACTTCACCCTTTTATGTACTCCAAATTTTTTGAAAATATTATCTCTATCTCTAAAAACCACTTCTAAATTCTAAAATGATGCCCTAAGTACTTTTTCTTTTTTCCAAGTTTTTTCCCTCAGCATCATCTTCCACATTGTTTTTAAAAGTATTCTATCTAAAATGAATATTTGATCACTTTTACTTTTTTAAAAGATTTTTATTCATTTATTTTTGGAGAGAGGGGAAGGGAAGGAGAAAGAAAGGGAAGAAAACATCAATGTGTGGCTGTCTCCCACATGGCCCCCACCTGGGACCCAGCTCGCAACCCAGGCATGTGCCCTGACTGGGAATCAAATGAGCAACTCTTTTGTCCACAGGCTGGCATTTAATCCATTGAGCCACACCAGCAAGGGCTGATCACTTTTAATTTTGAGGTGTATCGTGGTCAAGACCTCCACACATACACACAATAACATCTTCTGCACTAACATGGCAAAGAAAGCCACCCATTATCAGGCCTTTCCCATGTTGGAATCTCCTTGTCTATTCACTCACCATCTCCAGTCAACACAAAACTTGTTGCTCAGATATTTTATTCATTTTGCCTCTAGTTTCCCTGCTCACTTTTCCAGTTAAGAACTTGTTCTCAGTTTGCTTGCATGATGAGAAATCATTTATCTTTACACCTTAGTTCAAATGACATACTTTCTGTAAGCATTTTTAAATCATCACTAAGCATTTCAAGGACACATAAAAAATGTCCTTTTCTTTGCTTTGTCCTGGGTTAGTCTGTACAGGCTTTAATCAAAGCACTTTTAAATATTCGCTCTGTTTCTTTTTAAGTGTTTTTCATCCCAATTAAACTCTAAGTAACTTAAGGTCAAGGTCCATATTTTATTGTTCCTTACAGGTTCAGTGCCAGACACATATAAGTAAATTAAAAAGCTGCTTGCTATATTGATATGCCCAAGTTTTGTCTCCCATTTAAATTGCAATTTCATTGAAAACAGAGATCACGTGAGCCCAATTCAGATTTTATTTCTGCATATATTTATTTATGTTTTCTAGCATGCTTTCCTAAGGGACCAGAAAAACACTCCTGATAACTTAAAGCTTTATGTTAGCTCCTGGTAAAAAAAAAATAATTTGAAAACAATGACCAATTATTCTGCTACTGTAATAAAAATAAACATCAAGTTTATTTTATCAATACATATTCAGGGAAAACAAATCAATAGTAAATGTCACTTTATTTTAGAATAATAATAAACATATAACAACATTCTAAAATTCTAAAAATTGTCCTGGCTGGTGTCGCTCAGGAAATTGAGCACCAGCCTGCAAACCAAAGGGTCACTGGTTCAATTCCCAGTCAGGGCACATGCTTGGGTTGCAGGCCAGGTCCCCAACAAGGAGCACATGAGAGGCAACCACACATTGATGTTTCTCCCTCTCTCTTTCTCCATCCCTTCCTCTCTCTAAAATAAATAAATAAAATATTTTTTAAAAACTTATAAAAAATAAAAATTCTAAAAATATGTTCCTTTCTTGATGATACTGAAGTTTTCTCATTGTCAAATTGGCTAATATAGAATTAAATATTCAGTAAGTACCTATAAGCAATTATACCTTATAATTAAATCTTTGTCATAGTTAAGAATTTTTCTATATTTACAAAATTTTCATATTTGGTAAGTCAAGTATTTAAATTTAATTTGAAGTTACCACTAAACTAAATGTGGTATCTGAGGACTATGCAAATAAATTAGATAAAGAATTAGACATGTACATACATTTTGACAATGTCACAACATGCCTATATATAAATTGAAGTTTATTGAACTAAATGTGATGGCTACAGGCTTTATGCAAATAAATTAGCCAATATAGAGAATAAACCATACATATGAATTTTGACAGTATAACAATTTCCCCTCTAGCAGTTGCTACCTGGAAACAAGAGTAAATTATTAACTACGATATTATAAAATCTTCCTGAAATTGACTTTTTATATTTTCAAATACACTATTCTTATAAATAATAATATACGTACCGAAGAATGGTCAGCACATTTGGTATATTAGAAAAACCGGCAAATATAAGTGTGGAGAAGATAACAACGACAAACAGAGGTAATTTATAGCACTTTGTATCACATGTCCCAGATCTAGCATCAATAAAATCACCATCATCATCTGAGTTTGTTAATCCATCAGTAATGCATGAACAATTAAAATATGTCTGAAAATTAAGATAGAATACTATATTTTAGAAATATAGTTATAAAGCAAAAACATATTATTATAAAATAAAAATCGAATCAATAACTATATTGACACTAGCCAGTTTTAACATTAAATGCCCTTATATTAAATCTGCTAGTCATCACTTAGAATGAAATATTAATGTAAGTCCAAGCCATTTTAAAAACTCATGTGTTTGTGTGTATATGTATGTAATTACAGTTACTTAGGAAACATTCTATTAATTTAAGAAATTCCACCAAAAATATTTACATCTAATTGCACAGATAATTTTCAGAGAGCTATGCAAATTGAGAGCAGTTAAAGATGATGTGATAAATAAAATTGAACTTTAGCCCTGGCTGGTGTAGCTCAGTGGATTGAATGTGGGCTATGAACCAAAGAAAGGGTTGCACGGTTTCAATTCCTAGTTAGGGCACATGCCTGGGTTTAAGGCCAGGTCCCTAGTGGGGACCACGTGATAGGTAACCATACATGGATGTTTCTCTTTCTCCCTTCCCCTCTAAAAATTATAAATAAAATCTTTAAAATTTTTAAATTTTAGCTGGGATTTGAAATATCAATAGTAACCCAACTGTGTGCGGTTTTAGGACTATTACTGAAAAGCTAAGATGTTATTTTTTGTAATGATGGCAGGGCAATTATCTATGAGGCAGAGTAGGCATTGGCAATAGCCTCAAATATATTAGGCCACATAAACTGTAATTTTAGTGTCTTTGAAAATTTAAAAATGAATATAATAATAATGAATCTGGCCTGGATGATATTTGTCTTTATACTAATACAGTTGTGCATTAATATTTAAATTTATTGTTGTTGTTATTGTTGTCATTATTATTATTTTGTTCACAAAAGCAAAGTTTCTAGGGCCAAAGTCACAAGATAGCCCTAACTGGAAGCCAATGAAAATTGGGGGTGGTTGTTGTAGGGTTGATAATTCAAGAAAGATGAATAGGTGACACTTTCTAAGAAGAACTAAACAGAGTTTGAAGATACGGAGACAAATTAGCAATTTATTAATTTATTTAAAAGGTTTTAAGTTAAGAAATATCATTTGGAACTAGGTTACTAGTGAAGGTATATGAGCAAAGATGGCTTGAATCTGAATGATTCATAAAATGTAGGTCTAAACATCATTTGTTTGTGAACTTATCATAATCAATGACCACCCTAGTGATTGGCTGATAAACTGAGCAGAGATATGAAGAAGGTAAGAGAGGGAGCCATTTGCTATCTTAAAAAATGCATTTTAGGTAGGGAAACAAAAGTGAAAACAGAAATTGAAAGGCCTTGGGTCTGGGGCTTGCTTGATAAGTTCAAAGAAAAGCAAGGAGAAAAATGTGGATGGAGCAGAGGAACATAAAGTAAGCTCAGAGAAAATATAATGGAGTAGTGATGGAAGACTAGATTATACAGAAACTGGTAAATAATTACAAGGCTAATTTAAAAACTTTGGTTTTTAATCTTAGTAATGTATAACCATTGGAAGGGTATATGTATAAATGCCATTTTAAAAGATCACTTGGCTGCTTATATTGAGACTCCTGGCCTATGAAAGAAAGGTGAAAGCAGAGAAACAGTTAAAAAGATACTGAAACAAGGTACAAGATGATGCTCATTGGGACCAGAGTAAGTATCAGAGGAAATGATGAAGGTAGCTAGATCCAGCATTTATTCAGAAAGTAGATTTAAAAGGGTTTTCTGAAAGCTCTTAGGGTAGAAATGGTTATCGGAAGGAAAAAAGTTATGTGGAGACTTCCTTGAAAGAAACTGGACCTTCAGTCTGGGGAGGTAGTCCATGGGTCAGAGAGGGCACCCCAAAAAACGACTTTGACTTCACTGTTGTTCCCCATCTTTCTGATTTTTTAATTAGAACTCCGTATTCTTTTAGTCTAGTCATAAGCCAGAAGGCAAAAGAGCTCTCAGCATATAAATCAGTCTCCTGGAACAGTGAAGACAGAGAAGAAGGGTGGACAGTGGATCTGGAGGTCAGACAAAAGATATAGAGCACAACAAATGGTTGCAGGTTATAGCACCTAGGCTGCCTAAGAGCAAAAGTGAAAACATAAAGAAGGTTTGGTGAACAGATCATAGAATCACAAGATCTCAAGTTCTGAAAGGGTTAAACAAAAAACCGGGGAATTGCATTCAAAGAGATATAATCGCAATGCCTAAAGTCATATCAAAATTAAAAACTAAAATATAGTTATTTCAATTAATAAAAAGGAAGATAGATCTAAACATACCATAACAATAATTATAATAAATGTGAGTACTCTAAAAACTCTGGTTAAAAAACAGGTTAACAAAACTGAAGACAAAGAAAAACCATTTTATATGCTGGCTACAAAGGTACTTTAAACATAAAGACACAAATATTTGAAAAATAAATGAGAGAAATAAGATGCACCATGGAAACAGTCAGAAAAAGCTAGAGTGACTATTTAATATGTAAAATTTAGTGCACTACTTAAAGCAGAGTGGTGGAAAGGGACATTTTATAAAGACGAAAGGAACTACTCATGAAGGTGATGTGACAGCTGTCACTGTTCATGCACATAATAACAGAGCCTGAAAACACATGAAGCCAAATGACAATTATATTAGGAGATATTTTTCATATACAATGTTCAGGACTTAATAAGACATCACAAGGCTTACAAGTTGGCAAGAATAATTAGTTTAAAATTAAAAGAAGAACAAATATAAGTAGACTCATAGTTGATCTACATAGTGGAGTTAATAGCAAGAACTTTAAAATAACTATAATTAATATTTTTCAAAAAGAGAGCCTCAAATGAATAAAATATCTTACATGATGTGAAATTTCAACAGGATTTGGATTCTACAAAAACTTACGTGTTAGCACTGAAAAATACAATGAATAAATTTCAAACCCCAGTTAATAGGTTTAACAGCACAGTAGATATTACCAAATAGACCCTACAGAACAGAGACCAGGACAAGTGAATAACAAATATTTACACTTAAACAGGTGAAGGGAGATGGAAAACAGAGGAAAGGACAAAAGAGTACTGGACACAGTGGAAGAGTCGACTGGTAGTGTGCGGTAGCGGAACTCAAAGGTGGCACCTAAGATTTCCACCCTCCTATTGTATAATATAAAACCTACATAATTCCTAGGACTGTGAACTGATGAATTTTATACCCCTTACCAAGTTACATTATGTGGCATAATTAATTGACTTTAAGAAAGAGTGGGTAAATTTTAAAGCCTTCGAAGGTACTGAGTTTTTCCTGAAGTCAGAGGTTCAAAGCATGTGATAAAGGAGATTGTGGCCAGCCTGGAAGATGGAGGAAGTCACATGGCAAAGAATGGGAGTGCCTCTAAAAGCTAAAATCAGATCTAGCCGACAGCTAGCATGTAAACGGGGACCTCATTTTTTTTTTTGCAACCCAAAGAACCTGAACTGGCCGATAACTGGAATAAGCTAGTAAGTAGATTCTTTCCCAGAGCTTCCAGAAGGAACACAGCTCAGTCAACACCCTGATTTCAGCCTGTGAGACTCTGAGCAGAAGAGAGCCTCATGCTCTATCTGTACTTCTCCTTTTCTTAGAACTGAGAACTATTAAATGGGTATGATTTATAGACATAGCATTGTGATATTTGGTTGTGTAGCAATAGTAAACTAATACATGCACCCTGCAAAAAAGAAGAGAGAGTGAAGGAGTAATAATAGCTGAGAATTTTCTAACAGATAGACATAAATGCACAGACTAAAGATGTTCTGTGAAACCCAAGCAAAGTAAATTTAATAAAAATTGTATTTAGGAACATTAAAGGAAACATGCTGAAAATCAAAAACAAAGAGAAAAATTTTAAAAGCAGCCAGAGACATAGACAATATAATGGCATCTTTCAAATGCCAATATAGAATTCCATACCCAGTGAAAATGGTTGTTTTTGTGTTTATTGGTTTTTTCAAAAACAAAGGTGAAATATGGTTCTTCAAGAAGAAAGAAACGGAAGCATGGAATGCAAGGAAATGGGTAGGCAAATATAAGTGCATACTGACTGTGCAAAATAACAACAATAGTTAGGTGTCATTTAAAATATATATAGAAATCAAATGTATGACAAAACACAAAGATGGGAGGTGAGTAATGGAAGTAAAATATTTTAAGAATGTTTTCAGCTGAAAGAGCCCTTGAAGCCAGGCTTCCTGGAATCCTAAATGCCGTGGGTGAGACTGATGTCCCCTTCATAGATCACTGGAATGAAGCTTCTGCTGGGCTAGAGCAGCCTTCAGAGGAAGCCCTCTCATCTTGTTGTTTATCATGAAAGCTGTCGGCTGCTGAAAAGAGCTAGTTCAAATGAGAAGATGAAGACGAAAACACCAAGATTTCTTTTACATCTATATAAGAAAATTTGAAAATCTTTGGTGGCATAGATAGAAAGAATATATATGGGTTTCAATGAAGCAAACCTGCCCAGGAATATTATGGGTATGAAGAGGACATATCTATTTTCAGTTTTAGTAAAGCTCTGATTTTCTATAGGAAATACTATTCAGAGATACAGTATTTCTCATCGCTCCTCTTGCAAACGTTTGTGTAAGGGTAATTAACATGTCCAATTTTAACTCATGTTGACCCTGATCATGTTTTGAAAATTGACATTTAATCAGAATTATTTCAAAGTTGACATATTTGCATTGAAAAAATACTTTCCAGAGGGAATTCCATTAAAACCATTTAGATACTTGATCGTTTTTGTATATGATATTTCTTTAATTTTCATGTTGTTAAAAAGATTTTTATTGGTATTGATTCTTTTCCATTTAAAATTAATGCATATTTTACCCATTAACCCAGTTGCATCCATATCAAATGGCAGTAGTCATAGCTTCTGCTATTGTCAGTTTTTTCTCAGAGCCATTATTTCTGTCAAGGTTAACTGTCCTGGGCAGTTTCTAAGATGTCTAATTCTTATCAAAAATATTTTATTCTGGGAGCACTTGAGATTTTGCTCCCCAGTATGTGTTGTCAGTTTGGCTCAAATAAATCTTATAAAAATTGTCAAAAAATATCTTACTCTTCTTCCTGGCTCATGTAGCTCAGTGAATTGGGCATGGGCCTGTGAACTAAAGGATTGCAGTCCAATTCCCAGTCACATGCCAGGGTTGCAGGCCAGTTCCCAGCAGGGGACATGAGAGGCAACCACACATTGATATTTCTCTCCCTCTCTCCTTCCCTTCCCTTCTAAAGATAAATAAATAAAATCTTTTTAAAAAAGAATAAAGAAAAAAATTTAAAAAATATTTTACTCTTCTTTTAATTTTTATTTAATATCACAGTTATCACATAGTTTGATTACTTTGTTAATTTTTCTCACCACTTTCTTTATGAATTATTTCTTAGAAAAATATAAGAAAATTACAAATATTTTTATTAAATAGAAACAAAAAAATTCCTTTCAGGAATTTCCCCTAAAAAAAAAAGAGGTTGGAGCTACACAGTGGCTGTCTGTTTTAGTTCTTAAATATCATATTGGTTCAAAACTCCAAGGTCAAACATTTCTGTTTTATGCTGTGGTGACAGTGTGAGCATTTAATAATCATTTACTAGTTTCAAACAAAAATAGAGGAAAGGAAGTAAGCAGGAGTATAAAATAAGATTTTCTGTAAGTTAATAAATTGTTGAAGATAGGTAACTGGTGTATAGGAGTCCATTATGCTTTTCTATTACATTTAATGCTTTCCCCAGTAATATATTTCAAAGATTTTAAATGTCATTTTAAATATATATTGTAACATTTAATAAAGACTTTTTAAAGGGTATGCAACCTTTTTATATTGATAGTCGATAAAAAACTAAAGATATATCATTAAATCATAGACAACTGAACCATGACTGACTATAAGGAACTGAAGTTGGTCAGATGTGCTAATACCTTGTAGTGAAACGGTCTGTGTAACAGGGAAGAGAATACTGGTATGCAGGTGCATAACCAACACAGGACTTTATTATCAACTAAGGGAGGTGGGACGGTGCCTATGGATCAGGAAATATTCATCTCTGTTGCTCTCTTCCCTTTACAAAAACTAGCCTGAGGAGAGAGAGAGAGAAATAGAGAATTTTTTAAATATTTTATTTATTTATCTTTAGAGGGGAAGGGAAGGAGAGAAGGAGAGAAATATCAATGTATGGTAGTCTCTCATGAGTCCCCTGCGGGAAATGGCCTGCAACCCAGGCATGTGCCCTGTCTGGGAATCGAACCGCGATCGTGTGGTTCACAAGCCCGCACTCAATCCACTGAGCTACACCAGCCAGGGCGAAATAGAGAATTTTTATTCTCTATGCCACTATGCCACTTAAAAGGGAGAATCTGCGGTTACAAGTCCATTATTTAGCTGACAGCATATTTATGCAACTTTGGATACAAGAAAATTAACCTGGAGTCAAAAAATAGCTGAGTGGTAAACTGCTGTATATGACAAAAAAGGGAAATTGTTTGGAGGTTGGTAGAAGGCCCCAGGAAATAAGGAATTCTGATGATAATGGCCCCCAAATGAGCAAATAGGGGGATTTTAAAATGAGACCTGATCCATGTAAACATCAAAGAACAGACACAGATAACACATGTTCCGTTTTAAGTTATTTGGATTGCTGCCATAATGTAAACATCATCTACAACTTCAACATCTTATAGGAGAGGAAGAAGCATTAATATAAAATATTTATACCTTGTGATTATTTACTCCTTTAGAATATTTACAACCTGCAAAGCAAGGAGAAAAATATCCAATATTGTCTCTTCCACACACAGGAGAATAAAACGTCGAGCATTTACAACGAGAATTGCAAGGAGCTGTCAGGTCTCCCAACTTCCCTGTTCTATATTAAAAAAAAAAAAAGACATTGAATGTAATTATAATGCCATTGTAGTATATTTACTAATGTACAAATCAAGATATCAATGAGATTCATAAAATATTATTAAAATAATTTAACAGCTTTATTAAGGTATAATGAATACATAATAGACATGTTTAAAGTTTATCATTTGCAATTTTGATATATGTGTACACTTGTGAAACTATCATCACAATCATGTTAACAAACATACTCATCACCCCCAAAAGCTTTCTCATGCTACTTTGTAATTCCTCTACCCCCTGACATCTGATGATCTACTTTCTGTCACCATTCATTGGTTTGGATTTCATAACTTTTAGTGAAATGAAATAATTCATAATGTACCCTTTCTGTATCTGCCTTCTTTCATGCAGCTGATCTTTAAGTGGTTTTTGTATAGTCAGTCATATGCTTCCATACTCTTGAGTAAAGATTAAGGAGAAGAACATTTGGATAATCTGATAGGTGTTCATGTAACTTTTTAAGAAATTGTCAGTTTTCCATAGTGGTTGTGTTATCACACATTTCACCAGCAGTGTGTGAGAGTTTCAATTGCTTTCTGCATTTCTCATCAATAGTTGGTATGGTCAGCCTTTTTAATTTTAGACATTCCAACAGGGATATAGTAACTTCATGTTGTGATTTTTAATATGAATTTTCCTAATAACTAAAGATATTGAGAGCCCTGGCTGGTGTAGCTCAGTGGATTGAGTGTGGTCCTGTGAAGCAAAGGGTTGCCAGTTCGATTTCCAGTCAGGGCACATGCCTAGGTTGCGGGCCAGGTTCCCAGTAGGGGGAGTATGAGAGGCAACTACACGTTTGTGTTTCTCTCCCCCTCTCCCTCCTTCCCCTTCTCTCTAATAATAAATAAATAAAATCTAATAAAATATACTAGTAGCATCTACACTAACATCACATCAGATTTCTAATTCTTATGGTAGTAATTTTGTCCTCTAGAAGTTTAGCAATTTTATCAATCTTCTCAAAATATCACTTGTGCTTTTTTAAATTTTTCCATTGTTTTTCTTATCTCAAGTTCATTGATTTCTGTTCCAATCTCAATTTCATTTGTTCTACTTACTGTGGGATCAATCTGCTTTAGTGTTTCTGATTTCTTAAGGTAGAAGCAAATATCACTGGTTTAACACTATTTTTTCTTTTTTAATACAGGCTTTTAATGCTGTACATTATCCCATAAACACTACTTGAGCAGAATTTCACAAATTTTATTGTGTTTTTCATTTTTTTTTCATTTCAAAATACTGTCCAATTCCCTTTTTAAAAAATTCTTTGATCCACAGGTTTTTTAGAAGTTTGTTATTCAGTTTCCAAGTATTTAAGGTTTTTCCCCAGAAATCTCTTATTTATTTATTTCTAATTTAATTTCACCATGGTCAGAAATTTAATTCTATTGTGTGATTTGATTCGTTTCAGTTTATTAAGTCTTGTTTTACAGAAAGCAATCTACTTTGGTGTTTCATCACTTGAATGTATATTTTGCTTTGTTAGATGAAAAAGTTCAACAAATGTCACTTTAGTCTAGTTGGCAATGTTATTCAAATCTTTCATATAATCGCTGGTTAATTTTGAACTACTTGCATTAATTATTTAGAAAAATCAAGTTGGAGGTTCTCTGCCTTATTGAGATATTACAACCATTTATACTTAATGTGACTAACATTATGATTGGCTTTGAATCTATCCTCTTTTTAGTTTTATCTCTTCGTTTTTTTCCTATGTTCTGCTTAATTTGAGATTAAACAGATATTTTTGTGAAATGCTATTTTAACTCTAATGTTGGCTTATCAGCTCTGATTCATTTTTATTTTAGTGATTGCTTTAAAATTTACTCTATACATCTTTAACTACATGTACCAACACATATTATAGCATTTCATATAAACTCATATTACATGTTAAACTGTTTTTAAAAATTATATAAAGTGATTTAAATAAGATAAAAGTATTTACCTATACAATAATCATTTCCTTTGCTCTCCTTTGCTTTGTGTAGTTATTTTCACCTAGTATTATTTTATTTCAAGCAGAAAGACTTCCTTTAGCACTTCAATATCATGTATATCATGTACATTTTTATGTCTAAAATTATTCCTCTATTTTTATAGGCATTCTGGCTCAAAATAGACTTATAGATTGACTTCTCTTCAGTACTTTAGAAGTATTGTTTAACTGTCTTTTTACCTATATTGTTTCTGATGTAAAAATCTATGTTACCCTTATATTTGGCCCTTGTTATACAAAGTATTTTGTTCACCTCTTGCTGCTTTTAAGATTTTTCTCTTTATACTTATTTTGAGCAATTTGATTATTATAAACCATGGTATTCTTCTTGTTTCTTATAGTGAAGTCTTGCTGAGGTTTTTAATAAATCTGTAGATTTATAGTTTATATGAAATTTTTAAATTCTGGACTTAACTTCTTTAGATATTTTCTTTGTTCAACCCCTCTTTTTGGAGAGCTCCAACTAAGTGGTTAGTTCCCAAAATGATAGTGACTATGGTTAGCTTTTTAAGAAACTACCAAAGTCACTTATCATTTTATATTCCCAGTGGCAGTAGATAAGAGTGCTTGTTGCTCTACATAGTCACTAGCATTTTGTTTTGTCATTTTTTACAATTTTAGCCATTCTGATAGATAATGTTATGGTATCTCATAGTTTTAATTAAAAATCTCCTAATGTCATATGACACTAAGCCTATTTTCATATGCTTATCACAATCTGTGTATCTTCTTTAGTGAAATGTCTGTTCAGATATCTTGGCCATTCTTAGTTGGGTTATTTGTTTGCAAATTAATGAGATTTAAAAGTTCTTTGAATATTTTAGATATGTCCTCTATCAGATATACTTGTATATTCTCCCAATTTGTGGCTTATCTTTTCATTCTATTAACTGTATCTTTCACAGAGAAAGCTTTTAATTTTAAATAAAGTCAAATGTACTTCTTTTTCTTTCATGCATCTTCTTTTGGTGTTGTATTTAAAATGTCATCACCAAATCCAAGGTTACTTAGATTTTATCCTCTGTTATTGTTGAGAAGTTTTACAGTTTTGTATTTTATATTTAGGTCCATGATCCATTTTGAGTTAATTTTTTTCGTGAAAGGTGTAAATTCTGTGTCTAGACTCTTCCTTCCTTCCTTTTTTTTTCCTTGCATGTAAATTTTCGGTTACTTCACCATCATTTGCTGAGAAGACTGTCATTCTGACCCAAATTGTTGACGTAGGAGTCTCCTGAACTCACTATCTCCCATGCAGAACTACACATGGAGAAATTTCCTCTAAAAGAAATCCAGGAACTAGCTGAGTGACTCTTACACATTGGGCAAGTGAGAAAATATCCACATTGCCCACATTAAAACAGGTAGGAAACGCTGGGATACACTCTCATTGTAAACCCCATCCCTAGCACAGAGTTTATAATTAGGAAGGAGCTCCCAACTTCCGTCCTGCATGGCACAGCGTTTGGAACTCACATCTAGTAAAACTAGACTCACACGAGGAAGGGCCAAGTCTGAAGCCGGCCAGGAGACCCAAGATGTAGAAAAGTACAGTTCACTCACTGTGGCTATATACCCCAGAGCTAGCATGGAAGTAACAGGCAAAAATAGCCAATCTCTCAGAATTTCCATGACAGAGAACTGTTTGCATACTTTGCAAGATACTGCCTTCGAGTAAGGCTCCTAATTTAGCAGGTATCTAGGGGCTGCCTGCAATCCTCCTGAGACCAAGTAAGTCACTAGACACCATCTCTGCCTTCTCTCTTAAGTCTGCTCTAAATTGTCACTATCTCCCTAGAAGGAGCCTACACAGATGAAGGTACCCACAGCTTTTGCAGCTGCTGCCCAAGGGATGGTCATTTAGAGGCCTGACTCTCATAGCCAATGGGGCTTGCATTCATGAGTCCCATAGGGCTTGGAAACAAAGAAGTCATTAAAAAAAAACACAGGAGCACCTCCTATAGCTGTACACTTTGGCCCAGCACAGAAGAAGCAAACAAAAAAGCCCATCTCTCAGTTTTTCCATAAAAGGGTCATAACTACATACTTCTCAGTGCCTAAGGATCCAGCTTCCAATTAATCTGCATCTAGGTGCTGACTGCAATACTCTCCTTTGGGACACTGACACTTGTTACAAGTGCTACCACTGGGAGCCTCTAAAGACAAAGAAGGTGGCTTGCACAGTCACAAAGGTCTGAGAAAAGAATCAAGAGCTCTGGCTTGGCTGATTAATAAAATTAATCTAGTTATTACAATTATAGGTGAGGATATAGTTATGAATAAGGTCCATCTAGATAAAATAGTTATTAAAGTAAATAGAATTATAAAAATTTGTTAATGTTTATACTTGTACAAGGTAAAATATGTAAACTAACACCAAAAACAAAATGTGGGGGGTCTAGCTTTAGTATGTATTTAAGTTAGCTTGTTACCAACTTAAAAAGAAACTCATACAAAAATAAGACATTTTATGTAAGCCTCATGGCAACCATAAAGCAAAAACCTAAGTAAATATATAAGCAGAGATGGCCAACCTGAGGCCTAACACAAACTCATGAATTTACTTAAAACATTATGAGATTTTTTTTGTGATTATGTGTCTCGATGTATCTTATGTGCAGCCCAAGACAACTCTTCCTCTTCCAGTGTGGCCCAGAGACACCAAAAGGTTGGACTCCTCTGAAAGGATAAGGAGAAGGGAGTCAAATTATACCAATAAGAAAATAAGTCACAAAGGAAGAGTAAGAAAAGAAGAACACAGAAACTACAAAATAGCCAGAAAGTGATGAAATGGCAATATGTACAGATCTATCAATAATTACTTTAAATGTAAATGGGCAGAATTCTCCAATCAGAACACATGGAATATGTGAATATATTTTTGGGAACCCAGCACCCATCTACATGCTGCATACAAGAGATTCACTTACTGTGTAAGGACACACAAAGACTGAAAGTGA